AACCAACCTATACGTAATTAATGCCGCCTGAATCACATTTATCATCCCTACCATAATTCCATCATCATTTCTATTCTTTTCCAGAACAGGTGCATGACAGATCAATCATTGACACAATATGTTTTCGGTTTTTTTTGTATTCCGGTCCAGATGAATGGCCAGAAATGATTGCGTAGAAAGGGCACTTTTAGAAAAGATTGTTATGACGCATTCCTTTGCATTCGCAGAAATATAGAAATAATTAAATGAAATAGTAAAAGTCGTAAAAGAATTGTCATAAAATTGTTCAGAGAAAAGAAAATATTATTTGAGAAGAAAAGATATTACAGTTAGTGTAAACTAACTAACCAGCTGAATTAGTCTTATTATTATCATAAAACTTTTGAAATTTACTATTTGTATCAGTGTTAAAAGCGGAAGATAAAAATTATCAATATCACCATGCTAATGCTAATTATCACCATTCTTTTCTCATCTAATGTATATGTAAAAGTATGCCACCGTTACCATTTATCATTTCCAATTTGAAATGTGTCCCGGTTTTCTGAAATGTTATACGAAAGTGCTCTTCAGTAGATTCGGAATCACAATCTTGCTTTATTTTGAAATTTAAATTGCATAAATTAGCTCCTAAACTACCCAATAAAACAGCAATGTCAGTGTAAACATTGCCAGACTCGAAATGGCGGTAATAATTTATTAGCTTATTATGATCACTTCTAAAGATCGAATTCAAAAATTTCTCATTTTTTTTTCTTTTTAATTCTTGTGAATAAATTGTGAAAGCTTCCATTGCTGTGAATTGTCGTGAATTTCGAACTGTGATTGAAATGAAACGAAAATCGCCTCTGAATATTGAATTTTAACGATTTTTACAACAAAGGGATTTATAGCGTTACGTAGAATTTTACATTAAAAAAAAAGAAATTTGTTTTAATTGATTAGCCGAAAAATGTAAACTTAAATGAGTTTAGAAATCAAAAAATTTGTTTATTGAAATAAATGGAAATTTCGGAAGTCCCAAGTATTTGAGAAGTAAAAGTAAAGTGTTCAATGATTTGTAAATATTGTAAATCCATATGTACAATCGTTTCTGGAAAATGTTTCGCTTGTTCTAGAATTAAATGCATAAA